GTTTGTTCCATAACATCTTTTACTTTTGAGGATCATGTCCTTGGATCCTATCTCTTTAATTTTGTAATTTGACCTTTTCTTTCTAATAAATATTAGATTGTAGTTAATTGCAAATGAATTGCTTTCCAAGATACTCAGGACTCTCCTTCCCTCCTTCCCTCCCTCCCTCCTCTCCCCTTCCCTCCCTCCTCTCCCCTCTCTCTTTCTTTCTTTCTTTCTTTCTTTCTCCCTCCCTCCCTCCCTCCCTTCCAACTCCATAGCCAATGAGACTGTTTGACCCAATTCTGGGGCTTAAGCAGTGAAAAGGTAACTTTTCTGTTTTAATGAGTGTTTTTTTTTCAGTGCCATTTTGTGCTTTTAAAAGAAATGGTTTGTGTGTTCATATTTGAAATGCTGTAAAGATTAGGCAGTTTAAGCCTTCTTCCCTCTGTCTTACAGAATGCCTAATTATAAGGTCCTTTCTCTTAAGCACTTTTGCTGTCCTTAGCTCCTTTCTAAGCTTTCCACTCTTGTTCCAGTTAGAGAAATTGTACTCACATTCTGGAGAGAGACTTTGTTGGTACATGTTTGTAATAGTGATAATAAAAGGTTTAAAGTTTTTTCTGTGATTTATTTTCTTATATTTAGGAAACTCTGCAACTGTGCATTGTATAGTAAAGATTTCCAGGCTAAGTGTTCTCCTGAAAAAAACAAAAGGAATCTTGATATTTATTGGTATTGTAGTGATGTATTTTTCACTGGAAACTATGTGATTAGCCGAAAACTTTGTACTTAGTATTGAGTCAGAACACGAACTGCAGTTTCAGGTGCCCCCGTTAAAATCCTAGTTACCAGTCTTTTCCCAGGAGGTTGATCACTTCTGGTCTCCATCCTCTTCCTTACTTACTCCACATCCTTTCCTCCATTCTTCCTTTTCTTCTCCTCTCCTACCCCTCCCCTCCCCTCCTCCTCCCTTTTCCAATTAGCGCCTGTCCACATGCCAACATTTATCAGCCCTACAAAAACATAAGGCTGTTTGCAAAATACTGTTGACTACCAAGATGCTTGGCCTATGGAGAGAGAGGTCAAATACACAGAAAAGTAAAACACAGCAGCAGATACCATGCACCATGAAGAGGAAGAGGAGAACCCATCTAGACTGGATGGGGCAAATATATTGAAAAGGGGGTGTTTGATCTAAAGTGAAGTAAGATTTTCATAGGCATAGCTTAAAGAAAAAGGTATGTATTTGAGATAGAAGAAGTAAATAGATAAATATATGATAACAGAAATGTGGGTTAGTCGTGAGTAGTGACCAGTGTGGCAACATAGAGCAGAACTCTACAAACTTCCTGTTACGTTCTGGATAGTAATTATGCTGGTCTTTGTAGGCCATATGCCACTGACATAATGCCAGCCTTACCACTGTAGCAAAAGTGGCCATAGTCAATTCATAAATGAATAGGCTTGACTGTGTTCCAAGAAAAGTTTTATTTACAAAATCAAGCAGTGGGTCAGAGTTGTTATGCAGGTTGTGGCTTGCCCGACCTGTTGAAAGAGCAGAATTAGAAGGAAATAAATAGACTGCACAAGAAGGCAGAGGCCAGATGTAAGAGGGTTCTGGGTGCTGGCCTTGAGTTGGGAACAGATACCCTCTTTCATGAGACTATGACTGCTATATGTCTCCTAAAAGTTATAAATACCCAGACATTTAGATTTAGAATCAGGTGTTTTCTATTTCAAGATTAAGCTAGTATATAACCAACTATAAATTAGTATTTCTCTGTAACTGAGTATTTTATGTGAAAGTGGCATGTAGAAAGCAAACAAGGCTTCTCAATGCCTCCATCAAAGCCTGACTTGGATCAAAAGTAGAAATTTTTCATCTTTGGAGTTCTTACCATGAATTCTCCATAGGAAGGGACCAAAGGTCAGATCCTGGAGAAAACCCAAGAATGCCTGACAGGACTTTAGGATCTCTGAATGCAAAATGTCAAAATTATCCCTGTTCAAAATCCTAGTGTGAACTGATTCCAAATTAGCTATTCAATGTATATCTTGGATACTTACAGGAATTGTTAGCCTACAAGTCCAAAACAACTTCTACATGATTTTATTAGAACATTGTTAGAGCAAGGCACTTTTGTCTGTTTGATCATTACCTTTTATTCCATTATCATCAGTAATTCTGTAGTCCTCCTCTCTTCCCCTGCCACGTTGTTTCCCCTTTGGCTGAACATACTTGAGGCTCTGTTAATATTTGTATCTACAACACCTTCTCAGATGGTGAGCCGAGTATTCATTGAGTGTATTCATGGACATAGACATTTACAATTTTTTGGAACAAACCTGCCTCTCTCTCTCTCTCTCTCTCTCTCTCTCTCGTGTGTGTGTGTGTGTGTGTGTGTGTGTGTGTATGTGTTTGTATGTGTGTGTTTTGTTTGTTTTTTGAGACAGGGTCTCATTATGTAACCCTGGCTGGCCTGGAACTCACCTTGTAGAGAAGACTGCCTCAAACTCACAGAGATTCACCTGCCACTACCTCCCAAATGCTGGAATTAAAGGCATGTGCCACCATGTCTGGCTTAGAACAAACTTTTTTAAAACTGTGTTTTGATGTTCTTCATTGCTTCCTAGTTTTCATTGAGGGTGTGTATTACAAAGTAATTTGAATTTATTTCATTAAATTTTTTACTGATCTTTTTTAAAAAGCTTCCCTTTTAGCATTCTGTTTCTGTAAAGAAGTTGTGGGGTATTAAATGAAATTGTTGCAGTTGCTTGCAACATGCTGGGAAAAAAGTAGGCTACTTTTTATACCAGAGAAACCTGGACCTTTGGTAGTTTCTTCATTGCACAGTTGTAACCTACATATTGCTAACAACACAATGAGATCGTGCCAGATTCTGTTTGAAAGAAGTAGGCTTGAAATTTTTTCACCCATCCCACGTAAAGATGCTGGTATCACCCAAACATATAGTTAGAAGTATTTTAAAAATCTTTTTCCAGAATTTGAGGGACCCACCACTGTAGAATAACAAAGTCACAGTGTAGTGTTGGTTCTGATAGCTTTTTAAGAAAAGATTTGTTTTTATTTATGTTTACATGTGTGTCTGTGTGAGTGTATGTCATGTGTATGCAGGTGTTGAGGTTATCCGATCCCATGGCACTGGAACTATAGGCAATTGTGACCTGCCTAATTTTGTTGCTGGGAAGGGCACATTAGAAGGGCAGTACATATTTTAACCCCTGAACCATCTCTCCAGCCCTCTGATAGCTTTTAAAAATGATTTATTTTTATTTGAACAAGTGATCTGTTTGCCAATATTGTTTTCTGGTATGTGTGAAGTGCTCAAGAAGGTTCCAAGAGGATGACAGAGCCACCATGTAGGTGCTGGGAACTGAACCTGGGTCCTCTGGAAGAATAGCAAGTGCCCTTAACCTATCCCTGAACCACATCTCCAATCCCTCTATTAGCTTTTAAAGAACATTTCTTTATGCTTATTTAATATTCACTGAATTTTAATGATTCTCAGTACTTAACAAGACTTCTGGTAATCATGTGATAAGTTATAACCAGTAATCTCAAGGCTTAGCTCATCAATATGTATTTTAATTTTGCTTCTCTCAGCACTTAAATTATATGTTTTCTAAGGGTGCAGTTGAAATCATTTGATATCGAACCATTTTTAAACCAAATGTGACATATTGAAAAGAAGATTATGTGGGCAAGATATAATAATTATAATTAAGTGACAGAGAAAATAACACGTTCAAAGAATGCTGAACAAACAATAGAGAAGAGTAGGTAGATCACAGAGACAATTGCATTGCTGGTTGAAAACCACACATTTAATCAAGAGAGAACAGGGAAGGGGGATGCTGTGGCTATGCAGTGCTTCTCACTGTCAGTGTGGCTTGCTTCATTAGTGACCCTGTAGAAGTCAGTGCATCCTATTTCAGTATGAGCAGGTAATTCTTTATAACTTTCTACGTGAAGGAAAAAGAATTACTCATGTCTTTTTAGTTACTTTGATGAGACTTTCAGGCTTTCTGCCAAGGGTTTTCTTCTTTTAAAAATACTTTTGCTGGGGTAAGAGACAAACCCGGTTCATGGATGAGGAAAAGAGGCTCAGAGACAGCAAATGTGTATTTATGTTTCAGCATCAGTTAGGTGGAATATGAGAGTGATGGAGGGTCACGCTGTATTAGGGTAACGTGAGAACAAGTAGTGTGGTATATGGTGTCCGAGGGATGTGCTAGCTGTGCAATTTTCCTTGCCTTAACCTTGGGTGATATCTTTCAGGTTTGTTGAATTAGATTGGACAACATGTGTTTTCAGTACTGGGCCTGATGTGTATGCATTGAAATAATACATATGCATGCATAGCCTTTTATTATATCAGTCTTCATTAAATGGCAATGAGAAAGAAATAGTTATAAGACCAGTGAACACCTTGCCAAGGTCACTTGCAGACTAAGACCAGAAGTTTAAGTAGAAGCTGGCTTTCATTCTCATTTTCTTTAATTCATATTAGTATGGCACCTTATATATAGTTAAGAAGTAATGTTTTTATATTTTGGAGAAAGGTTTCTGACTGGTATTTTGTGTAGGTGGAACTGAAAAGCACCATATTTTCTAGACAACAGAAAAAAACAAAGCAAAGAGCCATGAACTAGTGTGTTTAATGAGTGTTGAATCTCTACAGGTTGATGCAGGCAAAATAAAAATGTGTTTTCCTGAAGAGCAATTCACTGCTCTCCTTTCTTCCTTTTCAGTTGATTGATAGAAGAAAATTAGAGTAATAATTCTATGCCTTATCTATAGTAAATGTAGAATTTTATTTTGTTTTAGGAGGAATAAAGAATTTGTTGGAATGTTTTTAACTTTGTCTATTTATCAACATATTTCTGAATTTAAAAGTTTTATATTGTTCTCCACATGTGTTGAAAGACATTTTAATGCCTAAAACCATATATTCTAGGTTTGAACTTGACATCATTTCTGACTTTTTCTCTTCCAGTGTCTGTATTTATGTTGAAAGTCCAGGTGAATGACATCATCAGTCGCCAGTACCTGAGTCAAGCAGTTGTTGAGGTATTTGTCAACTACACGAAGACAAATTCTACAGTAACTAAAAACAATGGCGCAGTATTGATAAAAGTACCCTACAAATTAGGACTCAGCCTAACCATTATTGCTTACAAAGATGGCTACGTCTTGACACCGCTGCCTTGGAAAACGGGAAGAATGCCAAGTAAGCACTTCAGTGGTAGTTTGTGTTCACAAATGTAAATGATTCCCCCTTTGTTTGGGGTGTATCTTGTTGAGCTGAACATGAGAATACCTGCAAGAAGCCTATACAGGAAGTTTAGAAGGCAAGACAAATTTGCAGAGAACTTTGTTTGGGCTGCTATAACAAGACACTACAAACCAGGTGGCTTATAAACAACAGTTTTGGTTTCTCATGGTTCTGGAGGCTAGGACGACCACAGTAGAAATGCCAGCAGGTTTATGGTCTGGTGAGGGTCTGCTTTCTGGTTTATAGGTGTCATCTTCTCACCCTGCCCTCACATGGAAGAATGGGCCAAGGAGTTCCCTTGGGACTAGTTTTCAAGGCACTCTAATTCCATTGAGGAGGCTTTATATTCTTGACCTAATTGCTCTGAGCCCCATTTTTTTTATTACTGTAGCTTTGGTAGCTGTGAATTTTAGAGTGATAAAAACATTGGGATCATCACAGTTATGAAAGCATTTTCCTTCCATAGAGGCTTGAAGTCATCTTGAGCATGATCTCTGCTCTATACAGAGCTTTTCTGAAGGTGGTAGTTGGGATGAGAATAATATGGCAAAAGGATCAGTGAGAAGTGGGATAGGCCAGATCAAGTGGGCCTGATGCTATAAGAACCTACTAAACATCAAGACAGTCTAGCTGTATGTGCCAAAACAGGCACTCACTGTAGATCTTAGTGAATCTAAGCTCTTTGGAAATTGGACTTAGTAGTGTGTAATACTGGCCTACTGGTCAACAGCAAGGCTGAAAGAGATTAGAGAGTTTGGCTACAGACTGTGCCCCCACCCATGGTGTTCCCTGACAGCTGGAAGCAAGAGGGGAGTGGAATGGATAGAGTGGTATAAACATGCATCAGAGAAGGAATTGCAGAACTTAATGTAAATGGATGTGGATTTTAGGTCACCACTCTTATTTTCCTTATAGTGATTGTTCTGTTAAGAGTTTAGATGTTTATTTGGTTTCTTATTGGAAACATTTAAATACATGAACCATTATTTCAATTTATAACAAAATCAAGTAAATAATCAATTAAATAAGATTCAGACAAATAAAACTTTAATAAACCTAAAACTAGAAAACCAGAGTCGAAATGTGGTAAGATGGATTCCTGCTTTAAGTACTTTATCTTTTTCTTCAAAAGAGAAAATTATACTATTCATTCAATAAAGTTAGAAATCATTGAAAGAAACCAAATAAAATGAGCAAAGAAGTAAAAGAAACTATAAAGAAGAGAAAATGGAAAAAAACACTAGTTCTTTGAGATAAAATCATGCGTTTTGCTAAACAATAAGAATGAGGGAAATAAAAGGCAATAAAAGGAAGGGAATTCTATAAAAGCTATATAGAATTAATAAGAATGTAATTTAATGGTAATTTTAAAAAGCTGAAGAGCACGCATGATCTCATGACCTATAAATGAGTACATTGAGTTCAGAAAGCATAGGCCCTCACCATTGGATGGAATGCTCTAGGTTGCTTCAAAGAAAACTTCTGAAAACTGGTCTACCTTGATTCCAGAACTAGTGGTTGTCATATTCTTCCAATGATTTGTGTGCTTTCTCACGCATGTGCACACACAAACACACACCTGTTCAGCTGACCCATCCCTCCTAGTCCCCTCAGTACAGAAATCCTGAAACAGAAAAGCAAAGGGATCTTTGTTATTTAAATAGAGTATTCTGTCAAGACTAAGCAGGATTTGTCTTCTTTGCAGGATTACGAGAGAACCAAATTTGTGCCAAACTCTATTGATTTCCTTTATAATCACCTGTAGAATAAATTATAACTACTATGTGATCATATCAGTAGTTGAATCCATGCTTATTTAAGAAAAAATAAAAGCCATCTCATGGTCATACTCAACTATTAAATGTTGGCAGTGAGCCTATCAAAATAAGAATCTAAGATAGATGTCTGTATTATTTTACATGGTAGAAGGTCTTATCAAAGAAAAAGATACTCAGAGACAAAAACATGGGATAGCAGTTAGAAAAGGCCAAAAGCATTATCATTTCTTGATTTAAGAACTGCAAACTTAGGATACCAGTCTTAAGACTTTTTTTTTTTTTTTTTTTTTTTTTTTTTTTTTTTTTTTTAAAGGGGTCCCTTTTAGCCCCCCCCTTTTC